ATCGACATGACGACACTTAATCAACCAGTTCATACCCCTGCCTGATCCCAGACTTTCTCGGATCATCGATACCGGCGCCCTAACTGTCCTCTGAACCCATAAGTGAGCATTGGTTCATGGCGCCTGGCGGCGACGACACACACCAGCAGCCGGGTCACACATTGCAGCCTTACCCTCTTTAGAGATCGTCTCAAACGTTTGTAAGTTTGTTGTTTAAAGCCACACTCTGCGTTTTTTCAGCTATATGAATGCAGCCTGTATATAATCGAGTCTGGACCAGACAAACCAGTGATTGATGCCACGAGTACGACCCGATGTTTTATTGGTCCGCTTTGTCCAGGTATTAACGTCTTACAAAGAAACTCTTTAAATAGTTTGAACTTGATTTATAAAGCTACTGCCACTATTGCCTACCGTATTGTAAGTATCTTCCTATTACGTAATAACCTCTTGGAAGGTTTTACTTTTTCGTAGTAAGACCTCATCCCGCCCGGGTGTGACGTTTTACTTTTACCTAGAAAGACCTCGTATGAGGTTCTACCTTTTCCCATCTTGACCTGATGAGTTGAGTGGCAGATAAAATTTGTACTTTGTGTTTCAAACGTCCAATTTTCTAGAATTGGAAACAAGAAATGTCAGTTTTCATTATGGAAGACGGGAATCGAACCAGCAACCTCACATATCGTGTTTAGTTATCCCATTGAACCACTGGGTTGTTCAATTTCACATGTCATGAATCCAGTTGGTCCATGCTGCACGTTGTTTTTCTCTCGCACGCTTTGTTCGAATTCCCTTTGTACCGCGACACACTGTATTATTTCACTATTAGGTATCACGATGTTTTCTTATTTTCTCTGGTATTTCTTGCATTTAGTCGGAAACATTGCCGAAACCCCCTTGCTTCGGTCACATTTCCTCGACCATAACCTCGGAGTCGTGCTCTATCCTTCACAAACGCACTTTGATCGATTTGGACCGCAATCACCACGCACAATCATTGATAACGAAAAACATTCACAGGTCTCCGCAGCCTACATTTGATGAGCAGAACTTCCCTTGACCGACAAACTGAGAAAAGGAGAAAATGTCACTAATGACGACACATCGTTTACAATTTCTTACTTACTTACTTACTTACTTACTTACTTTGGAGATTTAACGTGCGCTTTCCGACTGATGCGTATTTCGCACACGGGTCATGTTAGTACTTACTTACTTACTTACTTTGGAGATTTAACGTGCGTTTTCCGACTGATGCGTATTTCGCACACGGGCCCGGCCAGGCCATTTAATGTGTTTCCGAAAGGGGCGAAAGTGGTCTGTGCAACCCAAGAGGGGGGTTTTAGGGGTTGCTTATATAGAATTTGGGAATTTTGAGATTTGGAATAGATGCCGATGGGATTGGGGAGGAGAACTAAGGGAGCTGGGTATGGTGGATGTTTGTTTGTTTATGTGATTTTGTTTTGGTAGGTTATTGTGTTTTTAGATGCGTTTTATTAGTTCCGTTTTTATTAAGAATACGCCTAAGGCCTTGAAGTTTTCTAGTTTATTTTGTAGGTTTAGTATTGCTTCTAGAGTTAGAGCCTTGTTTAGATTGAGGGTGGTTTGGAATGCGGTTCGATGTGTTAGGTAGTGTGTGCAGTGGATGAGTGCGTGTTCTGGGGTTTCTGGTTGTTTGCAGTGTGGGCAGTTACCTGTAGTGTGTTTTTTAATTTTTTTAGGTGGTTATTTAGGTTGGTGTGTCCTGTTTGGAGTTTAGTGATTACTCTGTCGATTTTTTTGGATGGATGGAGAATTTTTGGTTTGTTTAGTGGTTTGCTGAGCACTTTTATGATTTGGCTATTTGAGTTTAGATATAGGTTATGCCATTTTTTTGTGATTTTTTGCTTGTTTACACTTTTAATTTCTGATTTTGAGATGGGTAAGTTTAAGCTTATTTCTGGGATTTTGAGGGATAGTTTAGCTGCTTTATCGGCGTTTTCATTACCGTATATTCCTACGTGGGCGGGTATCCACAAGAAGGTTATTTGTTTGCCTGCCTTAGTTAGGTCGTTGGAGCTTTTAAGTATTTGATTTATTAATTTAGGTCGGTTTTTGGTATTTTTGTTTTGGAGGGCTTGCAGTCCACTAGGGAGTCGGTAAGTATTAGGATTTTTTGGTGTTTTTTTGGATTCTTGATTATGGAGGGCTGAGGCCATGCCCATTAGTTCTGCCGTGAATATTGATTGGTTGTTTGGGAGTCGGAAGGATTGTTTGGTTTTAGTTGGTTGTGTGGTATGGACTCCGAAACCTGTGTGTTTGGAGGTCGGATCTGAGGATCCGTCCGTGTAAATGTGACACCAATTTGGCCAATTTTCGTGTATGTATGCTAGTGTGGTAGTTTTAGCTATGTTTGGGTCGGTTTGTTTATTTATTTGGCTAGCTAGTGTTGTGTCTATTTTGGGTATTTTAAGTTTAGGGGTGAAGATATTTGATTGTTTGCAGTTTTGTTTAAGATTTTTAATTTGGTGTTCATTTAGGTAGTTTGTTATTCTTTGGGATATTGGGGTAAGTAAGGGGTGTTTACGAGCTAGAGCTTGGTTTTTGGGGCTGATGTTTTGGTTTATTAAGTTTGGGATGAGAGTGTTTGATTGGGACGCGGCCCAGAAATTTAAGCTTAGCTGTTCCCTGCGTAGACTTAGTGGCATTTCTCCTGTTAAGGCCTGAAGTGAGGTGTAGGAGGTGCCATGTTGGGTGCGTGTAATTAGTTTGAGAGCCTGATATTGTATTGAGTCAAGTTTTTTAGATAGAGTGTTGTTTAGGGTGTTGTATATGGCGCAGCCGTAGTCTAGTTTTGATCTAATTAGTGATATGTAGAGAGAGAGGAGGGTATCTTTGGATGCTCCCCAGTTAGAGCCAGTTAGGCATCTTAGAGTGTTTAGGTCTTTACTGCATTTAGTTGTTAGGTTTTGGATGTGAGCATCCCAGGTGAGATGTTCATCGAAAATAAGTCCTAAGAATTTGGTTTGTTTTTGAAATTTGATTGTTTAGCTGGAGGATTGGGGAGGCGGGTTTCATGTTTTTATGTTTGAATACTATTCCTGTTGTTTTTTCTGAGTTAGTTTACAATTTCTATTGTTAATGCCTTAAATGAGTTTCAAGCCAGTGGTGATCATAATTACAGACTCAGTTAAACTGCTCTTCATGATTTTCGTGAAGATTTCCTACAAAACACCCACATATTAGATTACATAATATATTTTCTTCTTTGAAGGGGATTTAGAAGTTGGAGTACAAAGCCAGTAATATATAGCACAGGATTAAGCCAGTAATTATATATATAATATAAACAACAGGATTATAGTTGATTGGGGTGTTTGATGAGTTGATGGTACGCCGGGGGTTAAGGTTGATTGACGGTTGGAGTTTTTTTTATGTTGATGCCATAATCCTGTTGTTTATATTACTGGCTTAATCCATTGTTTATGTCACTGACTTCACCGATGATTGTCATCACTACCCTTGTGTGTACATAACAGGTTTCTCCACTTCAGCATAACTTCATCTGATATCTACTCTACTGTATAAACACTGCCTCCTACCTGTATATATTCTTGTCAACCATACTCTGTATATGACTTGTTTGATAACGGCGCTTAACCTACACCGAAACGTCGCTCTTAATTGTAACAAAGAGGTTGTGCATCCATAAATTCTTATCCTTACTTACATCAATATTGATGATAATGCATAGATGTGATGACGTTCTCTACAGGACAAAGTGAATCTTCTTTTGTGGCATCTGTTAACTCAGCTGTGCGGAGTCAGCGAGCGTTGTTTTACGACTACCTACAGCCCGTCCCCTACTGAGTAGAAGTTGTTTGATAGGCATTACTTAGAAGTTGGCGGATGACAAGACAGACTGTCACACAATTTTATGGATAACAACTTCTTTAATACTGTAAAAAGCGACGTTTTCGGTATAGATCCTTATACCGTTGCTTGACAACGGTATAAGGATCTATAACGAAACGTCGCTTTTTACAGTATTAAAGAAGTTGTTATCCATAAAATTGTGTCTATCTTGAGTAGAAGTTGCTTGTTGTTTTACGCCGCACTTAGCAGATTCTAGCCATATGACGATGACCTGTAGTTATTTGTTTGTCTGTTGAGTCTGGACCAGAAAATCCAGTGATAGACATCATGAGCATCGATCCACGCAATTGGAATACGATGACATGCATCAACCAAGTCCTGACCACCCGATCCCGTGTGTCGCCTATTACCACAAGCATGGGGTGCTGAAGACTAAGTCTAACCCGGATCTTCACGGGTTGCCTTGAAATCACCGATTCTAGGACCAGGCAATCCAGTGGTTGGTTGGTTTGTTGTTTAACGCCGGACTCAGCAATATTCCAGCTTCCAAAAGAAACCCAACCAAACAATCATGAACACATACGCATGAAGCAGTCGGAATCGAACAATGGACTCGATTTCTATTACTCATGACTATGGAATGTTATATTTAAAACTTTCTAAAACGAAAAGAGTTGACATAACTCAGAACTGTTTGTTTATTCATCAATCAGTACATATATATGTAACACCATGTGTTCACCTGATAAAGGTTCTAATAACAAGTTCAAACATGTATAGTAATCATCATAATTTCGCATTACTAATAGAAACCAATGACACAGCACTGTCGATCAACAAACAATAACAATTACAAGTTCATTAAAAGCATACATGTACAGTGTATCACAATCTGCTTGTTATTTCCTTACTATTTTGTACAAAATACAAACTGGCACTGAGTGGTGTTGAATTGGAGCCACATTTGAAAGCCCAAATGAAACAGTTAACATTTACAATAGCTCTTTCATGAGTGAGTGAGTTGGGTTTAACGCCGCTTTTAACAGTATTCCAGTTATATCACGGCGTGTCAGCTTAATGTGGGCGGGAAGCCCGAAGTGATGCAGGTCTTATGCGTTTACCACTTCGATGAAACGGGTATGGTGCTGACAAACCTAGAAACATAATCGGGACGAACCGGGGTTCGAACCCACTATCATAAGTTTCTTGCAAGGGACGCAACTCTGCACAACGAATCGCGGCGCCTTAGACAGCTGGGCCACCCGTGCCCGCAGCTCTTTCATGAAAACACCTGACTATGCCCATTACATATACCGTATAAGTAAGTAAGAGAGTTTCGTTACTTGGACACCAACCTTTAATGAAGAATATAAGAAACACACTGAAAGAGACGAGGCACATTCAATTCACTTGAAATCTCCATAAATATTACTAACAAAGTTACAAATAAATAATAATAGGAATATTGTCTCATGGTCAAATTCTATGAAACTAGTTACGATTCACTGAGACGAGTTCGACGGGCAAGCAAAGCGGCTACACTCCATCATATGTGAATGATTTGTGAAGCCAATCCTTGGTGGCCAAGGTCGCGAGGTTACTGGAGTCCTGTAAAGTGGCGTTAATCTATACCCACTCACCCAAATAACATCTTACCTAGTACTTCGTCATCGGTACGAGTTGGACGTAAATCTATCACTTCCAATGTTACATGTTCACCCTTTCGTCATGTCTATCGTGTTATCAAATGCAAACAAACATTAGTTGAAGAAAACCAATACAGTGTCTCCCAACTTTAATGACGCAAAACTGGTGACTCATGATCAAAATAATATAAAGGTTTGTCATACAACTCAGGAACATGATGACCCATCATCTGAGAGATGCATCGATCTGTCAGGAACATGATCACCTTGTATCAGGGTGATGCCTCGATCTGTCAGGAACATGATCACCCTGTATCAGTGAGATGCGTCGATTTGTCAGGAACATGATCACCTTGTATAAGGGAGATGCCTCGATCTGTCTGTCAGGAACATGATCACCCTGTATCAGTGAGATGCGTCGATTTGTCAGGAACATGATCACCTTGTATAAGGGAGATGCCTCGATCTGTCTGTCAGGAACATGATCACCCTGTATCAGTGAGATGCGTCGATTTGTCAGGAACATGATCACCTTGTATAAGGGAGATGCGTCGATTTGTCAGGAACATGATCACCTTGTATAAGAGAACTGCATCGATCTGTCAGGAACATGATCACCTTGTAACAGGGAGATGCATCGATCTGTGAGACCACTCTCAGGAATGAATGATGTCAGGCAGTGTCCTACATTTCTGGTTTGGCATTTGCCATGAATACCTGTACAATGCAACTGTGCCTTGAATACCTGTACAATGTAACTGTGCCCTGAATACCTGTACAATGCAACTGTGCCATGAATACATATACAGTGCAACTGTGCATCTAGACACACCCAAGCTACATTATTCCCCACAACAATCACAAAACCTTATCCTTGAAATGATGTAAACACTGACGGACTACTTCAACATTCCTGAGAAAACCCCTTGGAATTGCCTAGCATCAATACACACAGAAGCGCTTTTCCTGATCATTAAGACCTTTGAGTCCAGATCTCATCGTTTTAGCATACCTTGAGCAAAATTAGAGAGTTCTACGTCATGATCGTTCACGAATATCCTCGAAAATAGTGATATATTGTTTTATAAGAATTAGAACACAATGTATTCGTAAACGCCCAAATTGTTGTTTTACAAAGCTTTTAACAACGTTGACGACTATTCTAATGGAAACAGTAAGATAACAGCCGTAAAGGGAAACATACTTTTGAGGCGAAAGGTCGTCAAGACACTTCGGGAACCTGTAGAAACACAAGAAAACGGACATTTCACTGAATGTATTACTTTTTAATAAGACCCCCTTCCATCGGTCAAAGCAGTGAACATTCTTCTGCAATAGTGCTTATGTGCCCTTATTTCCTTCTATTTGTATATCTGAATATCTCTTCACATAGTTGATAGTATAGTGTTGCAATCGCGGATTAAACAATTTGTCAAAATTGAAAACGTGACTGCCAAAACAATGCTTGAAAATCACAGAAACACACACGTGTACCTAGATTGGGGTGTATCATGAATGGCTGACAAGCTGGCCTTAACACTTGAACACGCTTACGCAATATGATACACTTTAGTGAACAACTATGTGCGGTCTACTATTTACAGACGTCCCCTTTCGCTTTTATGCTGCTGTTCTTGGCTTTGTGCAAAATACAGATCAACAATGATACAAAATTTGACAGAAATATACAAAAATGACATGAAAAACTGTGCTTAGTAAATGTTACAATGTATGACAAGCTAATGAAGTCAACTCGTTCAGCACCTTTTATATTCTATAAAAACAAAAAACAGAGTTGTAGCCGTGAATATCCGCTAATTACACAGTGTCTAATTTCTTTTTGCGATCAACGGGTCTTCCAAACACTGCCTGTCGAATGATTTGTCAGTTTAAATTAGTTGGATTTGAAACATGACGAGTAAATTACTCCAAATATAGCCTAAAGTATTTCAACAGTAACATATTATCTTAAGTGTATATGTTTTATGGAGTTTCAAGGAATCAGCAACATAAGAGTCAATATTTTCTTTCGTTGAAGGAGTGGGGGTACGGTTTTCATCAACGCCATTAATTTCCAAGCTTACGAAAGTCGCCCCTTCTGCATATGGCATTCTCACAAGCGCCATTGTCCCGTGGTGGGTGGGTATTATTTATGACATTTATAGAATCAAATTCAATGTTATATTGATCGCGACGTACAAATATAACGTGTTATCTCTGGTGTCGGGTATTGCATAACTAAACATGTGCAGAAGAGGTTTTGTTTTCGTAGATGTGAAATGACAGTCTTTGTCCACGTACGACACATTTCGTTAAATACATCAACATTCACTGTTTACTATAAATGAAATATAGACAGACTAGTTCTGGTTCGAAACAATAAACCTACATCAAACCACAGATTGGATATTTCAGGCAATATTCAGGTGAACATTTCATAACGCTAACGATAATTTGCATCCAAATCTTTGTTCCAAGTGTTGCTAAAATTTCGCTTGAGTGTTTGACTTCGTATGAGTGTGTGTGTGTGTATGTGTGTGTGTCGTGTGTGTGTCTGTGTGTGTGTCGTGTGTGGGTGCGTGTGCGTGAGTGCGTGCGCGCGCGTGTGTGGCTACACTGTAAAAATGAGTTCAGAATGTAAACACATACAAGATATGTTAAAAAACATGTTAAAATCCTTAACGGAATACACATTTAGTGTGTCGATCTAAACACGTTTAGAGTCTCCACACATGCAATGAGCTATCGTCTCACAGCCTAAACACCACCTAAACACAACATCCCCTTCACCAAAACAAGTTTAGAATTTAAGCATGTTTTAGCAAGTTTACGACAAAGTGTACAACCGTGGTCAATAAGTCAAATATCGATAAGATGTACAATTTATTTTTAAATTAAGTTTTACAATAAATCATATAAAAAATGTTTCATAATCCCAAATTATGAAATATTATATTCATAATCAAAGGTGGTTCCACTATTAACAATTCAAATGTTATATTCTGATGTGGTATAGGCTGTTTTAATCATGGATATAGAATTTATGAACATGTTGAGAGAGAATATGTTGTTTGGTGTATGAATGGACGTATGTACAGGCATTGAAATATACCATTGTGACCTCAGTGATCAGGCGTTAACAAAAAAAACCAAGTTCCATGTGTGAGTAGGCGCCAACTAAACATTGATCTCCCCTACTTCAGAACCCTGGTCGACGTCTGAGACAGGGGTAGCTGTAGATTTCAGCTGGACACCCAGACGGCTCACATCTATCCCGACGTCACCGTCGCTGTCAAGGTGTCGTAGTGGCAGCATCTGGCCACGTTTTAATCGTCGGTGAGGACTGAAACATGAACAAGTGCTGATTATGAGACACGCAGTGAAATTCAGATTTTAAATGTTTTGAAAATCAACTGGTTTTAAATAATAGAGTCATAAGCAGCATGTGTTTACGCAGTATAAAGTGAGTGAGTGAGTTTGGTTTTACGCCGCCTTAGCAATATTCCAGCAATATCACGGCGGCGGACACCAGAAATGGGCTTCACACACTGTACCCATGTCGGGATTCGAACCCGGGTCTTCTGCGTGACGAGCGAACGCTTTAACCACTAGGCTACCCGACCGCCCCCCGCCGTATAAAGAAATATCTTTAAAAAACAAACATTCTTACTGTACCAATCACTGACATTCAAGTACAAATACCAAGTATCATCAGAAAATTTGAAAAAAACCCATTATTATAAAACAGTCAAAAATGGTACTAATGAGTGCAGAAATTAAAATGACTTTTGGAAAAGAATGGTGAACTACACAGCACCTTAAACATAATCTGCATTTACTCTTTTCAGGGGAAATCAATAGCGACAGAACAGACTTATAAAAGTGACCTGCCGGCAAGCTTGACATCTTCGAAGAAAAGTACGCTTAAAAACTATTCCAGATATTTCTTCATCACAAAACACAGACACTGGAAAACCATTAACGTTAGAAGTACAAATCTCATGTTGCACAATTAATCGTAATAGTATCCTTCCCCGACTAGTGGGTAGTTAATAATCAGAAGACAAGAAGACCTGCCCACAATGGAGCCACGTTTACTAGTGTATGTTTCAATGGGGGCGTTGGTCGAAATGCCACTTCTCAGGAATTAAAATCAATAGACAAAACTCACAACAGATCGGTGCCTGTTTCATCTTCCACATTATTATAGTGGAACTCGTCCTCCGATATAGTGTGCACAGCGCTGTCTTTTGAGAAGCGGCTTCTGCGCACGCGTTGCTGGAGGATGAACAGTTTGTAGGCGGCCAGATGGAGGCGTTGCGTCACGTTTGACTCCTCACTCCTGGGTTGTAAAAATATCAGACGCATTATGAAACTGGCCTAGCCCTACATTTAAATACCTCATATCTGAAAAAAATCAGTTATATAACTGCTTTAAGACAAAGACTCAAAAACAAAATTTTATTAAAAATCATGTAAAACAAATATCGAATTAACAAAAAGAATCTTATAAATAATTGCGATGTTCAAGTGCATGAATGTTGATTCAATAGGTCGAGTGTGGCATCAGTGAGTGGAAGTACGAGTGGGCTTAATGCATGTCGAAAGATCGTTCGTGGATTCGATACAACTGCATGACATGTGTTATTTCGCTATGTCCAACATAGAGATATCCCACAGGCCCCAAAGCAGGATAGTGATATAACTGAAACAGTGGACCCATATATATAAATAGACAAGGTACGTCACTCGCCATCTTGGCCGGAGTTGAAATCGGCTGTATCGTTTAAATGTGTGCATGTCATGTTCACAATACCTCCCCACAGCCCTCCAAGTACGACCTGCATGCCACAAACCTTCATTTTTGGCAATTTATTACCTATATCGGGTGATTTTATCGAAATATTGGCTCAGTATATTGGCGGCTGTGGGTCACGGAAATATACAAAAATCTCCGTCACGACTTACATTAATTCTGTATTTACTATTCTATGTATAACACAATGAATACAACTTGATTCTCCAAACATAAAATTAGATATTTTGTTATGAGACCGTAATTTTCATATATAAATCTTGATCTTACTTTGTTGTGGGTAGACTGAGCTTTCTTTTGACTTCTTCTGGTCTTTCGAATGGACCAATCACATCCACGGACGACTGCTTTGTCTGGTACGCAGAGTCCTTGACCTTCATATCGTGAATAAAGGTCGTCTGTGTTTCACTTGAACTCGATGGCCTCACGTCGTGATAAGGAGAGGCCTGGAAACTTTTGGGCGCCGACGACAAAGCTGAATCTGTGTCCGTAGTCACCGTTAGCAAGGACGAACTCGGGCCAAGAACTTTCTTCTCGTCCTTGTTAGATTTGAAGCTGTCTGACGACGTAGTAGCCTCGGACGAACAGATGGCTGAATCTGAGTTCTCGTTCTCATACTTGGAGGGAACATATTCTTCTTCCTGACTTACAGATTTCTCGGCAGTGTCGTTTCTGTTGATGTTCACATGCCTGTTACTGTTTCTGGCAGCACAGTTGTAGATGATAACATTGCAGGTTGCCTCACTGTTGCCTCGTTCTGTTGGAGTTGGGTTCCCATCTTCCGTCTCCGGTGGTTTGGGCACGTCCGGAAATCGAAACACGTTCCCATCGTCGGTCGGTACATTAACTTCAGAACTGTATTGAACCTCTTGGCTGAAAAACTTCCTAAACAACTCACGCCTTGCATAGTCAGAGTCTTTGTCGCTACTGTGTTTCGTATCTAACACATTTAGCATATCACGTTTGGATGTCCGTTTGCTATTGGCTTTAGAGCGTTTATGTGCAGCATATGCCTTCTTGTGATATTGTTCACTCTCAGTGCTGGAGGCTCGAGTCACTGATCTACTGGAACAACCACTGTGGCCCAGTGATCCACAGGAGTGAATCATACGATAGCTTCTATGATGCCGACGTTTTGAATGGCGAGATTTACTGGATTGTTTGTCACCTTCACAATTACACATCTGGGCAACACTGTCCGAATCAGGCCGATGTCTACGACTGGACTCTCTGCTTCTGCCCAAATGTGTTTCAGTCGGGAGGGCTCTCTGCCTACAGCGACTGCAATCACATGATATTGTAGATTCAAAACTATTCACCTCCGACTTTGACCGAGATTTACAAGATCTAGCACTTTGCTCTTGAAGAAGATTCAGACTTGCAGACCTTGAAAAATGTTTCGCTTTCTCTTTTCTTGAAAGTTCAGTATGCGAATGGCAGTTGTCAATTGCTACAGATCTCCATGAAGAAACTTTAGGTTTATAAGGCAATTCAATGACGGATCCCGCGGATTTAGATAACTGTCTATATGGACCCACAGCCCCTTCTAACGTCTCATCACCCTCCGTTTCATCTAAATAGATCTGTATAGAGCTATTGTCATCTACCTCAACGTTACAATTGTCCTCATTGGACACAATCACAGTAGGAAACAGATGCTCATTTGATGTGTCAGCTGAGAACAGAGATCGCTGACTAACTGCCATGTCATCATACAAGGACGCTTGCCTGACAAGGAAAGGTCCAGTACTATGCGATCGTTTCATTCTATCTCTGCCAACAGGATGAGGCGCTTCCAGGAACGACGTTGTCCGCAACATCTTATTTGCCTCGTTACGGCGAACTTCTTCATTTCTTAAACGGGTTCCAGCAAAGGCTAACGTTCCTCCAACCAGACCTCCGACAATGGAGTTGTCATCAGAGTCAGATGCCATGGATGTAGCGGTCGTTTTGTTAAAGTCGACTGCAACTGGAGCAGCAATTGGTGTCCGCTCCGCCTCTTTATAGGAGGCGAAGAACCTTGCCGCCACATCTCCACTTCGTTCGTTATAGCCAGGAGTGGAGGTACACGCGTCTTCAGCCTAAAATTGAATGTGAAAATGTTGTTGATTCTCCCAGCATGTAGTAGTCAACATCTATATGATTTGTTGTGTTTGTTTGTTTGTTTGTTTGTTGTTTAACGCCGCTCACAATATTCCAGCTATATGGCGGCGGTCTGTAAAATAATCGAGTTTGGACCAGACAATCCAGTGATTGACATAATGAGCATCGACCCACGCAGTTGGGATCGATGGCATGTATCAACCAAGTCAGCGAGCTGACCACATCTATATGAATTAGTATAACAGTCGTAATGGGCAAGTGAAGAAAAAAAAATCTTTTTTAGATTTTGTTGCGAAATCTAGTTTCCTTGATACATTTAGTCAATCTCCGATTCAAAATTCATAATATTAGGAGAAAGTATTTAAATGCCCAAGTGAAAGTACTGAAATCACATACTCTGTAATCGGCTTCCAAAACAAACCTATTTAGGGGCGTGGCTTAAAGGTATGGGGGCAGCGGTGACAACTATTTTCATTGGCAGATATTTTTGTCGCGATAAATTATCTTGATTCTTAGCCGTCATACATATACTTTTTCTGCTCTTTCTGTTAACCCTAGAAAAATAACAATATTGCACATATCATTGAATGTTTGAAACGACCTTTGATCTTGACATTGTGAACAATTAAAATGACAAATAAAAATCGGCAACTAGCGTTTTATTACTAACATCCTGTTTAGGTAATAAAACACCAGCTGCCCTCGGCCTATTCAACACATTAAATGCCCGTCCTGGAATAATCCCCTGAGTAAACAACTGAAGGCATCTTCAGCGTTATTACTACGGTTGCATATGTTATGGACACAGTCATCAAATGGATGAGCAGACAGAACAAAACATTATGTACTATCATGTTTTTTACTCAAAAACATATGCCTCCCTCGCCGTGTTTTGATACCTTAGTTCAAGTTGTTACTGTTAATGTGTTTGCACATAAAAATACCCAATAAAAGCAAATTTTAGACTGGAAAAATAATGGTTTCATGCAAAAATATTCATTAGCTGAAAAGATTTAGCGGGAGACAGACGCTACTCATTGAGACGTCCAAAAGTTGCCGTTATTATTTTATATTTTTATGGCTTGTATAACCAACACCAAATCAGAGAATCTAAATAACTGAATATTCTATTTAATGCAATTGTATCACTTAACCACAAAAGTATGACTACATGGAAACAAAATCATATTTAATCCCAGGCAGGATAGTACTTATCCCATACAGCGTTAACACAACAGTACACGTGCAAGTATTTATATATTAGCACCTACAACTCTGCACGATTAAGTGTAACGAAGATGATAACAACCGCGACAAAACCATTTGCCTTATCACTAGAAATTGTTGCTGAGTTCGTTGTCTGATTCCATGTGTCTATGAATCACCATCAATTAGACGTTCGCGAATATGTGAGCGTATCCCACCCCACAGGTGTCACCCGTCAAAACACATACAAGGGCAAGGCAAGTATTCACCTGAACAAACACGAGAACTTATGGTTCAAGTCAAAATAAGGAATCGCATCGGAGATCGTTTTCATCACCGAAGAGTCAAATTTGGAAATGTCCTCCACATGTCTACCCTAACCCTTTTTGAAATCTTTACTAAAACATTGCATGCTCGAACCATAAACAAACTACTTCTGATCAAGAGACGAGTGGCGCCTTTTGAAACCTTTGTAGAAAGAGCACGTTCGATGGTGAAATGAAGACATCAAAGGCTATAGCTGCTGGATTATTGCTCGACATACAGGGAAAGTAGACTATTGCAATGCTGAAATCATCCCTCTTGTCATACAGTCTCGTGGACACTTTATTGCCACTCTGAATCTTTATACAGAGATCAAAATATGAAACAGATGAGGCGGTGTCATTGATATCTTTTTATGTCTTGTTCAGTGAAAGAGAATTGGCTATTTGACCATTATCCGAACATCGATCTGTCTGAAGCAGAACTTATCATTATTGGCCAAATACTCGTGTTTTAATTTTGCCAATCCACCATTTGGTGACCATGGTGATGCCTACTTCTGGCCTGAATGTCCTATCTCTAAATTTCGCATGTTTTCTGCGAGGAAGCCCATCATTTCAAAGAGTGTGTTTTCGGTAAACGTCAGATGCCATTTACTTTCATTTTTGAGAACCTTTGAAGATAGGGATGTAACTATATATATGGTCACGTGCCCATGTTTATATAACAGAGCAACATTTAATCTATAAATAACCAAACATATGTCATGATACTAAATGAGACTTGGATGATGTGAACAATAATACATCTTAGCTATGACACGTCACAGTTGCCGTACCATTTACCAGTAAATTACATTTCCACACCACCCATGGACGTGCACGACATCACGTATTGTACATGTGTTGCAGCGATAGAAATTGGCAACAGTCCAATAGTCCTTGCCAAATTGCCAAATAGTAAAGGTATCAAAACGACTACCGTTAAAGACGACTATGCTTTTCGTAAGAGGCGACTAACTGGATCGGGTGGTCAGACTCGATGACCTGGTTGATGCATGTCAGGGTATCCCAATTTCGTGGATCGATGCTCATGACGTCAATCACTGGATTGTCTGGTCCAGATTATTTACAGACCGAGGTCATATAAGTGGAATATTGCGTTAAACAACAAACAAACAAACCAGTAGGAATTTGCTAACTTTAAGGGTTTTATCATTGCAAGGACTTGTAGGCTAAAATGTTAGTTTCTACGCGGTGTTCTCATTCAAACCGTTTGAATAACGTATATTAATTATACACACGTTTGATGTTCATAACGTGTGCTATGGAAGATTCAGAATGTTACTAATTGACATTCAAGCTGTCTAATCGATTCAAATGATCCTCAGTTGGACAGAGGGATGATCTTTGATCAACATGATGATAGAAGCACAAAATACAGACTCAAAATATTTTACACTTACAGGGACTCGAACCCTGACCTGTAGTATCAAGAGCGAACACTAAAGGCTCTCCTATCTCCGGTCCAGTTTACGTCAAAGGCGAATGACAAGTTAAACATTGATTGTTATTGCAGTCATCTCTGTAATGACACTTCCTGGTCGGTGTTGCTAGGTCATCGTTTGTCATGATGGGAATATGTTCGATGTCATAGAAATATATTTTTGGTAAATGTGATGAATTATGATACTTTTGCTTATGTCCGAGGCTGTTTAATTACCTTCGTTATAGCGATGACGGGCGGGGTTTTGATAGGCGGTGGTATGGTACAACGTCTGGCCTTCAACTCGGAGAATGATACAAGGGGCGTTGGCGTCTCAGAAGGAGGAAACTTGGCATCTGAAAACAAATACGAAATAGGATTCCTTGTATTCACTTCCACGAAACCATTTCAGTGATCACTGCCTAGAACAAATCATTATGCTTAAATTAGTACACATCCATTTTGAAACAGTTTGCACATCAATATTTCTTTAGATTTACTTACTTTAGAGGATTTTCAAAACAAATTTGAAAACAACACATACGTAATCTGTGTTTTAGTTTAGAACTGTTTTAGTCAATAAGCGGTAAGGTGTTGGAGATGAGGTGTACTATATCGTATAGCAGATAGTATCTTCCTGCTTAAACGTGGAACCCGTGAAGATCTGGGGTAGAATAGGTCTTCAGCAACCCATGCTTGCCGTAGAAGGCGACTATGCTTGTCCAATTGTCCAATTGCGTGGATCGATGCTCATGATATCAATCACTGGATTGTCTGGTCCAGACTCGATTATTTACAGACCGCCGTCATATAGGTTAAATACTGCTGAGTGCGGCGTTTAACACACACGCGCTTACATGTGGAAGTTGCATGGTAGAGTCTTGTAAGAAGGTGGTCAGACTTGACTGGATGCGAGTCATCGTATCCCAGTGGTGTAAAACGTTGCTTACAACATCAACCACCGTTTCTTTTTGTCCGATTATTTACAGGCCGTAGCGATATATACTATTGGAATTAAGTTAAGGACAATCGGATTCTTTCATATTACTACAGGTAATATGTCATGCCATCACAGATGAAGTATAGTTCGGTGGTCCTTAACTGTTATTGAGTAGTATGTCTGGAATATCGCTGCTGCCTACGACGTAAAACATCCAACGAACAAGCACGCTTTATGATATGTTAAAATTAAGCCTCCTTAACCTTTCACAATATAATAGGGGCTTTCTTACCCAGGTTTACCTTGCCCATTTATTAATTAGATATTTTGGACAGCTTTTGGAAACCTGGAGATTAAATGCATTTATTTTGAGAGATACGAACAATCAATTTGATATTCTAATTACATATTATGACTGTGAGTTGCTTCAGTGTATCTCATATATTTAGGCAATTTACAATAATGAGCTGCATTAATCACGATTTAGTCCCAGCTGCTGTAACAGAACGCCATTAAGGACAGATCTGCATCAATATGAAAGCATCGTTCTCGACGAATGGGATTTCGATTTTATGGAAGGAATGGCATAAACGCATTTATTTATATCTTTTGTTTGACATTTATGGTTTGTATCTGTCATTGCGGAGATGTCCATAAGTGCATCTCGGAATAGCAAAATTGATCAAAGCTTTTAATTACAATTAACCATATGTGAAACAGTGAAATTTTAGTCTTCGACTGCAGCTGACTTCTCGTGGAATCAAATAATGTATGTCTATAACATACATTATACAAGCATTTGCTACATTTAAAAAGGTTTGATACAGTCGAGCATAACAGGGTTTTTTATCAAATGTTGCCAAGGCGATCTGGTGTTATTTTGAGGGCTCGGTTGACCTTAACTCAGACTGGAAACAGACATCGTGCGCTAATTCTAAGCAAAAAGTCGGCAGATATTCTCCAGCGCCGGCGTTTTTTAATTTCGATGTCTATTGTCATGAACACAGGAGATCAAAACAGGAACCACATCCCTTCCTGGTCACGTTCGGCTATATCCGGAAAACGGAGTTAAGGGTTAGCATATGGTAGGCATTTCCAACCAATGGTATTCTCACACCCGCGGCGCACAAAAGAAGCCGTTGCATATGTCGATATATAATCCTTCAAACAGCTCACTGACTTGGTTGATGCATGTCATCGTATCCCAAGTGTGTGAATTGATGCTCATGATGTCAATCAATGGATTGTCTGGTCCAGACCCGATTATTTACAGACCGCCGTCAAAAAGCTGGTTTATTGCCGAGTGCGGCGTTAAACAACACACATTCAAACAATCAATCCTTCAAAACAAGCAACCATACTTATTTTGTGGAAAACGTATTTAACAAGTTTCAAATTATGCAGAAACATACTGAAAAATATTCACTATAATTGGCGGAAAGTTCCCTGCACATTTAAAAGGTAAGGAACGCCCACAGCCTCCATGTTCAGCATATGTGTACTGCTACCTGCCACCAGACACGTGAAGATCCGGGGTAGAATAGGTCTTTACCAACCATGCTTGCCGTAAAAAGGCGACAATGCTTGTCGTAAGAGGCGACTAGCGGGATAGGGTGGTCAGGCTCACTGACTTGGTTGATGCATGTCATCGTATCTCAATAGCGTGGGCCGATGTTCATGATATCAATCACTGGATTGTCTGGTCCAGACTTGATTATTTACAGACAGCGGTCATATAGCTGGGATCTTGCAATATGAAGCATACTTATTTTTTTTTTTCTTCACGGGGATAAAAACAATAAAAACAATGCTCCCCGCATACCCCCCCCCCCCCCACACACACACACCCATCCCCATACCGAATGCTGTCACGATGTAGGGCCATGTTTCAATCAATCCGATATCCTTCTATTGTCTTTGACAACAAAGTCAGCAGAGCGCTAATTAGTCCGCGAATGACGTTAAACCCGTTTTCATCCAAAGGAGGTCCTAATCAAGTTGCAACAGCGGCCTGGCGAATACGTCATTAGCGGATGCACATTATACAACCTCATCAGTGTGAATGTGCACTCAGTGACTCACCACACTCCAAATGAGAACGTAAATGGTTAAATCATACTTAATGTTTATATAAAACTACAACTAACATCCCAATGGAAATGGAACTAATTAAGAGTTGAACGGTCAATCATTCTCTATTGTCTGTTTCAATGAATCTTTTATGTGCTTTGGGAGGGCACAACTGTAATGACAGACGTTATGAAATATATTCTGCAACAACACAATGGCAGGTGGGAAGGTTCCACAGTGCGCGCACCTTTAACGAACAACAGAGATAAGACATTTCTGTTACGATATCATCCAAACTTTGTTTGTTTGGTTGTTGTTTAACGCCGCACTCAGCAATCTTCCATTTATATGACGGCGGTCTGTAAATAATCGAGTCTTGACCAGACAATCCAGTGATTAACAACATGGGCATCGATCCACGCATTAGGGATACGATGACATGCATCAACCAAGTCAGCGAGCCTGACCACCCGATCCCGCTAGTCGCCTCTTACGACAAGCATTGTCGCCTCTTGTGACGAGCATGGGTTGCTGGAGACCAATTCTAACCCGGTCCTAAATCGTCAAGACGTCATGAACAGTAGATGCCGTCATCTTGCGCCAATGCGTCATATGACGCCATATGTTACTGAGGGCCCCCCTAAACAATGAATACAATCGAAAGATTGTTGTAGTGCTGGGTGAGAATTGACGAAATAATTTCAACTATATCCGTGCCTTACGTGTAATACACAAGCATACGAACCTGTCTTCTCCTTCTTCTTGACCTTGATGTCACAACAGGTAAAATGCTTGCCACACTTCCGCCGGATAACGTAGAAGATGCCAAAGGCGAGAAGGACGCTCAGGATGACGATGAGGCCAATCCAGATGGGTTCACCCAACAGACGCTGGCCGATGGCGACTGTCATCTTCGAGTTTTCTAATGGCTTGCCACATTGTGAACCTGGATATAATTAAAAGCACACAATACACATCGAATTCTTCGATCGATTCTCATTTGATATTTTGTAAATACCAAAACACTATTGGGACACAATAAATAATCATTTTCTTCTCGAGCACGTTATGTTTCAAAACGGATGATGAAAGGCGGCCTTAAATAAACATCAAAAGAAAAAAAAGAATAAAATGTCAAAGTTTTTTTCAATATATATTGCCACGAGTCTTAAGGCTAATATTGAACAAAACTAATTTGGAAACGTGATTCAAATACATGTTCTTCTTTCGTTTAGATATCGTACACAATCATCAAGGCCATGTGAAAATGTGTTTGTTGTTTAAAGCCGCACTCAGCAATAGTCCAGCTATATGACTGTGCTCTGTAAATAATTGAATCTGGACAACACAATCCAGTGATTGACATCATGAACATCGATCCACGCAATATGGATACGATGACATGCATCAACCATGTCAGCGAGCCTGACCACCCGATTCCGTCAGTCGCTTTTATGACACGCCTGGGTTGCTGAAGATCAATTCAAACCCGAATCTTCACAGGTCCGTCGGAAGATATGAGTGAGTGAGTGAGTGAGTGAGTTGGGTTTAACGCCACTTTTAACAGTATTCCAGTTATATCACGGCGTGTCAGCTTAATGTGGGAGGAAAGCCCAAAGTGATGCAAGCCTCAGACGTTTACCACTTCGGTGAAACCCACGAGCACGGGTATGGTGCTGACAAACCTAGAAACATAATCGGGGCGAATCGGGATTCGAACCCACAATCATAGGTTTCTGGCGTGCCCAAGGGCGGAAGATATGAAGCAAGCTGTGAACAAATTTGGACGAAAACCCAATCATATATAAATTGATAATAATCAAACAACCACAATATGATCCTCCGGACTGACCATTTCATACTGGGATTTTATCGTATTCAAAAATTGACCCAGAATGCTGGAAAACAATACTTGTGCTTTAAGAATGACTTAAAAAAAAAAAGACATTGTCTGCCACAATAAAAAGATATAAAAGATGTTTTAAAAACCAATATATGGGCTAAAGGTTTAATCAGGAAATGTGTATGACTTTGCAGTTGTAGCTGGAGTTGCCATACACAATCCCTGCCTCCGTCAAAGACGGATTGGAGATCACTTACACTGCATATATATAAGTATGGCTTTCTGTCCAACATGAATGTGACTATGTAAATTTATATTTGCGACATGTCGTTCTGAGGACGTAACAGTATAATAAAAAGTTGAAACAATGACGTTCTAAATAAAAACACTAAACACTTTCCATAATCATAAGAAATCATTCATTTTAGATTCAGACTGTTATAAAAGAATGTGTTTATGAAACACTATCCAATAATGATGATACATGTGTTCGCGGTAAGATGTACGTATCCCACCAACCGGAGGTTCCCATCACAAACACATGCAAAGTCAAGTCAAAACAAGCGTTCTCTTGAACAAACACTGGAACGTACGAAAGATAACAAAATGCATGCTTACTGAAAAGTAATCATGTAATATTGACGAATTTTTCATTTCCTGTATTAAATCATCGTCTCGCCAAACTAGAGAAATGAAATGAATCATTAACGAGGCAATGAACGTCTCCATTGATCTGATATTTTAAGCTGATAGCAATGTAGCCTTCGTTACCATGGCGATACTGACGCAACTGCGATAATATTGAAAATACTCGGCATACTGTTTTTAAAAGCTCTATTAAAGTTCATCAGGTGATTTCTTCAAACGGCCATGAACTATCCATTTAAATTATACAAGGTTCACTTGTGTTTTAGTTCGTCGACATCAGCATGTGTAAATGTAATAGTTTAATAGGGAAGTTTTTATTTTCTCAATTTCAGTTGTACATAAAACCGTATTAAATGACATATTCGATAAAATAATGTCTAACTAAGAGTGGAAGCTATTCATCAACAACGCGTTGTTAATATCCTGAACATTTGTTCTACGAAAATAAATAATTTTGCCCAACCCCCTATCACGGAAAAATGTTGCATGTTTTCAAGCACTGACCGAAAAGATATCCTACCTTTTAAGAATAAGCCAGCTAAACCCACCACCACCAACCCACCCACCCAGGCTCCTAAATGGTGGGTCCCTACAGAAGCTGCAGGTGCGCTACCCACCTTCCCAGAAGTCGTCACAATCACATTGGGGGGTGTTTGTGATGTTACCGATGCACTCCCCTTGCCCGCCACAGAAGGTCTTGCGACATCCCTGTGCGTCCTTATCACAGCGTGGGCCCCAGAATCCCCCGATACACCCACAGGCGAAGCTGTTGGTGGTCAGTACACACTGACCGTGGACACAAGGGCTCAACTCACAGTGAGTCACCTGACAAAATAAACCTGAAAAGAGAAGATATCTGGTGTGAATAATGGGATTGAAAATGGACCACGTGATATTCGTGTTCTGTGAAACTGTAAAAAATGTATTATCCTAATGACACAGCCTTTGTGTGTGTTGTATTATTGCTTGACAACAGTGAGAAGTATTTGTCTCACTGAATGAGATATTGAAGAGTGTTATTTTGTACAGCGTGACTAGAGTGAGTGAGTGAGTTGGGGTTAACGCCGGTTTTAACATTATTCTAGTTATATCACGGCGTGTCACCTTAATGTGGGAGGAAAGCCCGAAGTGATGCAGGTCTCAGACGTTTACCACTTCGGTGGAACCCACGAGCACGGGTATTGTGTTGACAAACCTAGAAACTTAATCGGGGCGAACCGGGATTCGAACCCACAATCACAGGTTTCTGGGCGTGACTAGAAGATACATTGATAGTAAATATAGGATGAAAAAAGGAAAGGGGAAGTGATAGAACAACGCATACCGTATGATATCATGTGATAGAACAACGCATACCGTATGATATCATGTGATAGAACAACGCATACCGTATCATATCAAGTGATAGAACAACGCATACCGTATGATATCATGTGCTAGAACAACGCATACCGTATATCGTGATGTGCTGGAATTTATCATAGTGTATGATATAATGACACAAGACATAGCCTGTGATATCATGTGGTGGAACAAGAAATAACCTGTGAAATCATGTGATGGAACAAGACATAGCCTGTGATATCGTGTGACGGAACAAGACATAGCCTGTGATATCGTGTGACGGAACAAGACATAGCGTGTGATATCATGTGATGGAACAAGACATAGCATGTGATATCTTGTGATGACAAGACATAGCCTATGATATCGTGTGATGGAACAAGACATAGCTTATGGATTCATGTGATGGAACAAGACATAGCCTGTGATATCGTGTGATGGAACAAGACATAGTGTGTGATGTATGATGGAACAAGACATAGCGTGTGATATATGATGGAACAAGACATAGCCTATGATATCGTGTGATGGAACAAGACATAGTGTATGATATATGATTGAACAAGACCTAGCCTGTGATATGTGATGGAACAAGACATAGTCTGTGATATCATGTGATGGAACAAGACTAGGGTATGATATCATGTGATGGAACAAGAATAGCGTACAATGCCATGTGATGGAACAAGACATAGCCTGTGATATCATGCGATGGAACAAGACATAGCTTATGGTTTCATGTGATGGAACAAGACATAGCGTACAATGCCATGTGATGGAACAAGACATAGCATGTGATATTATGTGATGGAACAAGACATTGGGTATGATATCATGTGATGGAACAAGACATTGGATATGATATCATGTGATGGAACAATACATTGAGTATGATATCATGTGATGGAACAAGACATTGGGTATGATATCATGTGATGGAACAAGACATTGGGTATGATATCATGTGATGGAACAAGACATTGGGTATGATATCATGTGATGGAACAAGATAGTGGGTATGGTATCATGTGAAGTAACAAGACATTGGGTATGATATCATGTGAAGGAACAAGACATAGCATGTGGTATCATGTGATGGAAATCACACAGCATATGATATCATGTCAAAGAACAAGACATAGCGTATGATATCATGTGAAGGAACAAGACATAGCGTGTGATATCATGTGATGGAACAAGACTGCGTATGATATGTGATTGAACAAGACATAGCATATGATATCATGTAATGGGACAAGACATAGCGTGTGATATCATGTGATGGAACAAGACATAGCGTACAATGCCATGTGATGGAACAAGACATTGGGTATGATATCATGTGATGGAACAAGACATTGGGTATGATATCATGTGATGGAACAAGACAGTGGGTATGTTATAATGTGAAGTAACAAGACATTGGGTATGATATCATGTGAAGGAACAAGACATAGCATGTGATATCATGTGATGGAAATCACACAGCATATGATATCATGTCAAAGAACAAGACATAACGTATGATATCATGTGAAGGAACAAGACATAGCGTGTGATATCATGTGATGGAACAAGACATTGCGTATGATATGTGATTGAACAAGACACAGCGTATGATATCATGTAATGGGACAAGACATAGCGTGTGATATCATGTGATGGAACAAGCCATAACGTTTGATATTTTGTGATGGAACAAGACATAGCTTAGCGTATATTATCGCGTGAAAGAACAATGCATTACGTATAATATCTTTTGATAGAACAACGGATAAGGTACGCTATCGTGTATTTTGAAGGCACAAGATTGAACCAGTGATCAGTGTATGCTGTGGCTCCCCTCAGTACACGCATGGAATCTGGTACCTTTTTGATATTGAAAAAATCAAAATATACTCAACAATAAAAGTTCCCGTGACATTGAATACGATTTAATGCAAAATTATGTTTTTTTACCAAATCTGAAACAATTTCGGTTTGCAACAGATAAAAGACTCCTGTAAGTGTTCAAATGGTATAATTTGCCATACTGGCTTCAGAAAATGCGTGATTTCATAAAAACAACATGAACATGCCAAAATGTCAATTTACAAATCAATAGCGTGTGTGTCGACCTCTGGTTGCGATGCAAACAACACATCTTCGTCTCATGGAATGGACCAGGCGTCGCACAAAGTCCTGTGAATATCTGTCCATATCTGCTGGACCAAGTTCTTGGAGTGTCTGTGGAACACGTGGTTGACGTCGAAGGAGCCGATCCATCTCATCCCACATGTGCTCGATTGGTGAGAGATCAGGGGAGTGAGCCAGCCAGGGGATGACATTCACGTTGTTTTGTTGAAGAGAATCCTGAACAAGTCGAGCAATATGAGGCAATATGTTGAAAGGTAATGCCTGGGCCATGACGACGCAAAAACGGAAGAACAACAGGGCCGATGATCTCGTCGCGGTAGCGCTGTCCATTGAGATTTCCCTCTATCACTATCAAACGGGTCCTCTGTCTTGCTGTAATCCCATCCCATACCATAACGCTGCCGCCCCCAAATCGATCTTCTTCCATGACACAATGATTGACGTAACGTTCACCTCGACGTCGGTACACTCGAAACCGTCCATCGCTGTGTCTGAGGTGAAAACGAGACTCGTCAGTGAATAGATCTTGTCCCCACGGCATGGCCGTCCAGCGAAGAGGCTGTCTGCACCACTGTAGACGTGCTTGACGGTGGTTTCCTGTCAAAATGGGACGTCTGGCGGGTCTTCTGGCGACAACCCCTGCACATCTGAGGCGACGACGTACGGTTTGTGAAGATATTCGTCGAAGGCCAGGGATGCTTCTTGCAGTCACTGTTGCTGGCTGGAACCGATTTCGTAGGTGTGTTGTTCGAATCCAGTTGTCTTGTCGATTATTGGTTACGCGTGGCCTGCCACTCCGAAGATGGTCTCTGACTGCATTCGTCTGTTGCCAACGTTGCCATAAACACCAAATGGTGTTTCTGTGGACGTTAAATTGTCTTGCAACATCACGATGACTCGATCCTGCTTCAAGCATACCAATTGCTCGCAGACGCTCATTTTCGGACAGGCTAGGCATTTCGTAATGTTGAATAATTGCGTAATTTTGTTGTATTTCTGAGTGGTTGTTGTCAGCACGATGCTAAACAATGCATATGGAATCTCGTTAACGCACATGTTTTTATACCCATTCTTGGGTAGTGAAATGCATGGGGCATAAAAGTCAATTTTTGCATGGCATGCATGCTTTTCTGCAGCAGTTGCGTTTTTGTGACTTGATTCCATACATGTATTACAATATTGTAAACCAAACTTTACTTGTTTGAAAAATACGCTAAAATATTGGTGTCACAGGAACTTTTGTTGTTGAGTATAGTATTTAACCTAGAGATTCCACCATCTGATTAATTTTTCATTAGATCTTGGCGAATGCTGATATGAAATATTGATTTACCAGTGTAATATCCAGGGCATTCACATTTAGCCTCATTTCCCGAGATCTGGTGACATATGCCTCCGTTTACACACGGTTGCTCACTGCACGAGTCAAAAGATGCGTCCTTCAGGCTTGACGTCTTGTTCAAATATTCAGGATCTAAAAAGAAACACCATTTATAATCATGTATTGGTTAAAATAAACATGATATTCGTATTCAAATTCAGCACTAACACAATCAGATTATGTGCGTTGACATCTACATAAAAAAGACATGCATCTCAGTGAGTTAGTGAGTGAGCGAGTTGGAGAGTATCAGCTGTTCACGGCGAACACTGTGTCTAAACAAAATACTCTTCTTTTTACAAAAAAACTTGATTCGATGACGTCACTTTGCCAATACATGGCTTGGTGGTTACAGGGTGAATATTGTTTTATGACGTAGTAAATAAATCCCCGAAACAAGCATGAAATACTCATATTCCCCGCCAATACCGCCATTTTCAGTCTAAGTCAAAGTTGTTGCCATGGAAACTCGATAAAAATATTTTCAAAAATCTCAAACTATCACCACTAGACCTATCTATCTGTCGACTTGGTTAGGATATCTCTCATGGTTTTTGAATTCTGCTGCGGAAACGAAACGTGACGGACGGACAGCACCCATTCCAATATCCATCCCCCTTCCACTTCCGCAATATTTACTGGCAAACAAATGGCTGACAGCACGATGAGCTACTCATACAGTCAAGTGCACGAAAAAAGACAGTTGAGCATAAATCCCGAGTTGAAACTAAATAACAGAAAATGAATAAATTTACAGAATAGAATGTAGATATCATTTGAAAATATAAAAACATGACATAATACTTTAAAGTATATTAATAAAACAAAAACGATAGCTACCTTCAATTGCTTCTACAACGGCCGAATAACCTCTATTCGGCGTTGTGTATTCATTCCCAGATACAAAATATAGTTCCAGTCTGTTGTAAATAGATACTACCGCTGCTGAGGTGATGTTGGTGCTGTTGATGTTGTCGCTGCAGACTGTGGTTAGGACCCTGGTTGATGACTTGCCAAGTGATACATCACTGAGTCTAATATAGTCAGTGTGGCAGTTTTTCGAAGGTTCGAGATTCAATGAGGTAAATTTCAAGGTCAACATGTGACCGACAGGAGCACGGAAGATAGTTGATTCACGAACGTCCGGTGGATACGCCAATGGGGTGTTGAGGCTTGTTAACGACGTTTTCTGACCTGGTTCAATCTTCACTGTATTTGTTGGAACAGTGAATGGCGGTTGCACTAAAGGAAACAAAAAAATTCAAATAAAATGTATTCAATTTTGTTGGATAACTGATGATGGGTATTAGAACCTTATGGAACTGTATTGTATTGTATTGTTTGTTGTTTAACGCCGCACTCAGCAATATTCCAGCTGTATGACGGCGGTATGTAAATAGTCGAGGCTGGACCTGTGATTGACTATCCAGTGATTGATTTCATGAGCATCGATCCACGGAACTGGGATACGATGACATGCATCAACCAAGTCAGCGAGCCTGACCATCCGATCCCGTTAGTCGCCTCTTACGGCAAGCATGTACAATCGTCACAGGTACAATCGATCCAAATTCTGAAATGGAGCAAAATGCTCTTCAGCATCACATGGTCGAGATGACCCAGCTGGTGGCAGATAGCATTACACATATGCTGAGCATAGAGGCTGTTGATCCGGGGTAGAACAGGTCTTCAGCAACCCGTGCATGCCGTGAAAGGCGACTATGCTCGTTGTGAGAGGCGACTAACAACTGTAAATAATCGAGTCTGGACCAGGCAACCCAGTGATTGATATCATGAGCATCGATCCACGCAATTAGGAAACAATGACATGCATCTACCAAGTTATTGAACTGTAAAGCCTTACATAATCAAGCACGCTAGCTGTTTGTTCATTTATTTAAAACAGTTCATAGCAACGATGTTTGCTGCTACATCATGGAATCCTGTAGACAATCACGTCTGGACAAGGCAAACAAGTGGTCGATAGTAGGATCACCGTAAAACTCCATCGGGGTACATTGACACAGTCACAATCATCAAAGTCGCTGCGCCAGGCCATCCGATTACCCGTTTAGTCCACTTTTAAGAAATACCGTATTCGACGTAATAAGCGCCCTGCTCTAATAACCGCCCACGGCGATATTTGCTAATATATTGGCTGGTGAACAATCCCAATTTGCACCCCTTCAGATTGATCAATGTGCACAAGACTTATTTATTCGCGTATAATAAACACTCGTGTGTTATATGCACCCTTAATTACGGGCAATTAAATTCTGGAAAAATATGTTTGTCGTGTATAAAACGCATAGACTTTTCTTTTATATCATTCAGGCTGTCAGCATAAACAACGAAATTTACGATCTTTCAACTCTGTTTTTTTTCTCCACCAAAATTATATTCTAATAAGACCCCCAAATGCCTAATTTTACGAGCGCCCTGGACGCTTATTACGTCGAATACGGTAGGTCCTACTGTGACGTGCCATGATGGATTTGCGTGATCAGTTTCGAACAATAATCATATACTTCATGTGGACCGTTTTAGAGCTGCGTAAATGACTCCGGGGCATTTCTTCTCAAAATTGAGGTGGGAGGAAAACAAATGAGATAAGGAAGGGACATTTTGTCTCCTAAAATGCGACTCAATATTTATGCGAACCTCAAAGCCAAGGCCCAGTTGAATCACATCGTTCTCTTTATTCAGACCAGTCGACAACAAAAGATAAATCTGATTGAAATAATGCATACCATATAAGCGTAACTGGCCTTAATACTGCCGAAACAACAATTTGGTATACATATTATTCGATACAATTACAACCTCAATGAATACGTTTTGCTCAACCTCAAAGAATACGTTTTTGCTCAACCTCAAAGAATACGTTTTTGCTCAACCTCAAAGAATACGTTTTTGTTCAATAATAATAAAATACCATCAAAATAAATGCTAAATAATTTTAAAATATTTTAATGAGATTTAGTTACTACCACCGAACGTAAGTCGAGTTATCAATCTCTCCAGACAAACGAGAGGGCCGGCACCATGACGTTACATCGTCAAACTATATATCGAGATAATGGGGGTTCGCCTAAACTGAATATGACTTACGCTGTTTATATGTCCCACGAAATCCACAGTTCGCAGGAACAGATGTTGATTTCAAGATTAATGTCATATTCGCCGAAGAAGACACAAGGCGTAAGGGTAGAGACACGGAGTAAGAGTTCCCGACCTGAAGGGATGCGTTCTGTGCTATAAGCACCTCAAGGTAATTCCCCGGGCCAACTGGTAGATTCAGATACTCCAATTCGAGGAAGATCCTATTGCCCTGGACTCCTTGTATGACAATTTGACAGTTCATAACATCTGGAAATGCGAATGGAAAATTAAAGCTGGAGATATTTCCATATTCCCCCGTAAGCGTTTTCTCGGTACACTCCCTCATATCTAACCACATCCATGATAACAGAAACCCAGGTCCCGTGACGCTGTAGTCCGTTTCGAATGTCACGTCAGCTTGGTTGTCCGTTGACAGCAAGTGGCGTGGGACATCTGAAGTTCCACAGTAACGACCTTCCGGTATTGTTTGCTTGAACTCCAAAAAGTCATAGAGACAGTTCTCCTGATATTCCAAACCTATATTCATCAATGTAATAAGGATTCGGAAATTCATGTCCGACTGGAAATGCCATAGTTGTTTTAAGTCGTCCCTGTAACCATAGTCTGCATAGCCTGTGTTGCTCAGGGTGCCGAGGCGACTGGGGACAACACGTGGCTCTTCTGTGTGATGGAGGCCTGAAAGCAGATATAGATGTCTACATACACAAACAAACTGGTATGTATTGTAATTATATATTCAGGTTCCAGACACACCTGTGGTTAAAAGTCTGTTTCTAAAAATATAAAGTTTCATTCACTTATTGTGAACGTGTTACATAATCTGCGAATTTAACAATGAGTGAATGGGTGAATATAACGCCACTTTGAACAGTGTTTCAGGAAAATCACGGCGTGTCAAGCTTCATGTGATAAAACACAAAAGCACGGGTATAGTGCTGACACACAATGAAACATAATAACAGCAAAACTTGAAACTCAAACCAACTTTCTGGTACGACAAGGTGCGCACTTGGGCTGTTTCTAAACGTAAAGGTAAATTCATTATACTGCGAAAAAGTTTCATAATCACCGAAAGTTTTTTGTTTTGTTTTGCTTGTTGTTTAACGCCACACTCAGCATTATTCCAGCTTTATGACGGCGGTCTGTAAATAATCGAGTCTGGACCAGACAATCCAGTGATTGATATCATGAGCATCGATCCACGCATTTGGGATACGATGACATGCATCAACCAAGTCAGCGAGCATGACTACCCGATCCCGTTAGTTGCCTATTACGATAAGCATAGTCGCCTTTTACAGCAAGGATTGGTTGCTGAAGACGTATTCTACCCCGGATCTTCACGGGTGATAAAAACGATAAAAGAGATATATGATAATTTTGTAGTTCCAACCTGTGATGTTTTTATAGCACACGAAAGGCAAGGTGTCGTTACAGGAGACATTCTCGACCACGACCTCGCTTGGCACGAAGATGTTTCCATACATCAAACTTTGATTGACGCGAAGTGCTTGACAAGAGTCATTCTGGACATCGTACCAAAACACATGGCTTTCAGAATCTGTAATATGATAAACATAAAAAACGTTAAAATATGTAATATGTCTCAAAGAAAACGATGTACAATTGAAGATGAATACAAACTATATATTACATGAAGATTGAAGACATTTGATGGACCTGTACATCACGACATGGAACGTGACAATCCTGTTAATAAGGAGGGAATGAAGAAACGAAATACAGTAAACTACGGTTATGACGAACTCAAAGGGACCACTAATTTTAGTTCGTTGTAGCCGTGGTTCGTTATATGCATATATACAGCATAACTACAGCAAATAGTCGTGACAAAAAAGTAAGTGCGTTATATCCGTCAGTTCGTTATAAGCATGTTCGTTATAACCGTAGTTCACTGTAAGTGTATTCTAAGTCTAGAATCATGCGTGTACTTCTTTTGAAAGGTTGTTCCAGGTTCCGGGTCCCGTGTGTATCACATTACGGGGATATCACATTAACATGTTAGGGGATAAAAGTAAAAGGCTGTTTACTGAGGTGATTAAAACAACGTGTATCACACACTGACTGTTTGTAGATCTATGAAAGGTGAAACAAACCGAAATTCTAACCATTGTCTCTTGAAAGCTTTGCTGCATCTAGGAAGAAACCCAGGAAACCGGCGCCGAGTAACAGACGCGACTGCTCATTACTGCTGCAGGCGACTTCAGCCTCCGTAATGGAAACCGCATGTGTACTTCCTTTCACACATGCTGTCTCCGTTAAGCCCCACTGTCCATCCCCACACCGATCCGTTCCTGAAATGGAGTTTATTGTTTTGTAAGTTCAACATGTCCACGCCAGACAATGTTAAGTGTCAAATAGCTGCCGAAATAGGGAGTAAAAGGAAAAGTATATGTGAGGGTCATGGAAAATCAATGAACGCAAAAGTCAGTCATATAAAGATGGTCTGAATCTGGACCAAAACAACAAAAGTTGAAAAACAATCTTTGCGTTGGGTTACAGTGACCTTCACCAAACAAGGTAGTTAGCTCCTACGGCTAGTGTTAGGTGATCTCAACACAGACCCGCCCAGTGGATGTAACCATTATCAACATTACTCGTGCTAAAATCCAGCTATCCTATTATCCCGTAGCCGCCTTTCAAAACTCAAGACAAGTCGGCTGACCGGCCTCGTTCGTTACCACTCGCCCCTTTCCGTAACCTGCATGAAGACTCTTCCCCATATCGATGAATGTTATGTGCGGGTGGATGGGGTAGCCTTGTGGTTAAAGCGTTGGCTCGTCACGCTGAAGACCCTGGTTCGATTCCCCATATGGGTACAATGCGTGAAGCCCATTTGCCGGTGTCCCCCGTCGTGATATTGCTGGAATATTGCTAAAAGCGGGGTAAAACCACACTGACTGCCTGTCTGACTAAATGTTATGTGCGAAAATACGACAAACCAATCAGAATGCGCGTAAGACTTCAAGCACTTCGGTCAAAAAGTCCATCAGGAATAATTTTTGACTTTACATAGGTCTTGCATTTAAAAAATACCCAACATACAGTTAAATGTGTCCAGTCATACTGTATAATACAGTAAGTCCCGATGTGTTTTCAATAGCATCTGGAATATATACGACATATGGTGAAATATGCGTGAATCATTACGCAACGAGTTGACACTTCTTTAGCTATGCTCGCTAGCACTTAGACGAAACCCAGGTGCAAAATGGCCACGAGAGTGGCACGAGTAGCTATTCGGCTTGTTCCGGGATAACACGAGTAGGTCAAGAATTGTCCGGCCTGTACGAGCATCATGACGTCACACTGGTCCACTTGCGGTCACAAAGCATATCTAATACTGTCACCCAAAATACGTCCCTGTAACTTATGATTACGTTAAGAATCAACACCAATATTCCAGTTTTATCTTGGCCACCTCTTAGTAACCGAGTGACGGAAACCACGAGCAACGCTCCACGCTATCGGGACATGGTGTTGCGCAATCAGAAAGGCACAAAGTCTGACAATCTATGTAAAAGTAATATATTATAATGAAAATAACTCTCACACAGTTTGATAAATATGAACATAAATATGTCGTTCACTTAAGACGTTACCCTTCATCAGGCTGATTGTAGCATTGAATCCTGGTCTCCGGAAAGAATGATCCGTCGAGAAATGCAGAAACAAGATGTTGCCAGGAATCACTTTCCGTAAAAGCTTTGGCTTTGTGGTCCAATTGCCACATAATCTCGTTGTGTTTCCGGCCAATGTGGAATTCCATGGAAAGGGGCTAAACGTCAGGTAGTCGTACCTACATCTTGAAAAATCAAACGATATATAGTAAATTGAGTTATTTTCATGAACGAAAAGAAATCTAGCAAATCATTAAGAACCCGATCCCATATGTTACAACCATCAGACCCATCCAAAAATGCATTTTGAGATTTAATGAGGGAAAGAGAGGAAAGTGGCATCCAGTACCGTGCTGTGCTCCAAATATATGTCGAATCGGCGTATTGTAGGGGTGAAAACAAGTCAAATACGGACGAATTGCAAATTACAACCGTAACATACACGTGGGCAAAAAATACTATACGCTCTAATGATAAATGGTTGCAGTTATAAAATCCGAATGTTCAACACAAATTTTTTGAATGATTGCGTCGCAAAGTGTGTTGACGAATGTCCAAGCAAATATGCCTACAAATTCATGTCGAGATGGTCTAGTTATAGTCCACAAATCGTTAACGACCTGATAAACTCTGTACTGGAGGGCAGGACAGATAGAAAATGATAACTGCAATGTGTATATAACATTTTTATCATACCAGTACTCATCAATTCTACAAACGAGCAGTATGGTACTTATTGGTTTGAAAAAAATATGTCTGGTACTCGTCAGTACAGTACTCATGAGGTTGAAAAGATTATCTGGGGCACTGAGCATGTCCAGTGTACAAATTCATGCCTTCCAGCGCTTCCACGGAACACCAAATTGCCGGTTACCCCAACCATTCAACTGCTAAATCATCTTACAGATAAAACCCTGCTGAGAGAGTACAACGTGCTTTTAAGGTCTTTGAAAGGCATTTAGAAGTGATTCACATAAGGAAGAGAATATATGGATGTCAACTTCTTTATTGTGAGGAACACAACGTATATTACTCCTTCATCAGGTGAATGATGACGTTGTGTCATTCACCCAATCTCATTAAAATCATATCTAAGTTCTCGCTATCGCTAAACAAAGATCAGAGGACATCCCATTACGAGTCACGTCAGAACGACCTTTCGCGAACCGATCACTGAAACGACTAACAAGAAGTCGACATCAGACATTTAGAAAGCAGCTTTCTTGAGCTTTACGGCACTCGTTTCAACCTGGCGACTTCCATTTCAGACTATGCTTGAAAAATATGTTGCGTTCTCGATTAAAAATTTGTAAACTGAACAAACGAACTTCCGGAATGTCTAGCGATTGTTTGGCAGTGCTTCCCACGTACTGTGCAATGCCTCCTCCGTTCAAATGTTTATCTCACGGAAGCGAGAGACAGACGATAATTTTGACGGAATCAGTCGTGCAGACCGGAACTGTCGTTCGGAATACCCCGTTTTATCGATTTCGAGGTTGCATAATTAGAAATCACATTCCGACTGTCACTTTCATGATCTGGTAAGCGACGCTTTGATTGGTCGGATGAAAGGTCGTTCAGACGTGACCCGTAATGGGATGTCCTCAGATCTTTGTTTAGCGAAAGCGAGAACTAAGATCTGATTTTTATGAAACTGTTCATTCACCTGATGAAGGAGTAAGCATATACTCCGAAACGTTGTGTTCCTCATAATAAAGAAGTTGACATCCATATATTCTAACGTGCTTTTAAGTCCACCATCATTTCACAGATAACCATGAGGGGAGGGTAAAGGTGTACTATGATCATGTCATTAAGAGCAATGTACATGTGACACTAGACAGCCCCGAACATGATCCCAACCGGAATTACACACTCTTTGATCCACTTGCACACGTTAAAATGTTTGTCTGAACGCCGAGAAGGGTTCGCGTGTTTTCACAGACCCGTTGTGTCGTTCCGATGATACAGGTCGACATTAGTTTATGTTGGTAGTTTCACGTGTTAGTACTCTTGATTTACGACAGTTAGCAATATTGCAGCCATATCACGGAGTAAATATTCAGAGTCTGGGACAAGAGAACCAATGGTTGATAACATGGACAGCGATTCACGCCAACGACAACCAATGACCACCCAGTCCAAACCCATGTCTACGATGATTTTCAGAGGTGTGGTAGAGGTTTCAAGGTATGGTTCTGTGGGGTATGGTTCTGTGACCAACCAGTCCACACACCTGTCTACGATGATTTTCAGAGGTGTGGTAGAGGTTTCAAGGTATGGTTCTGTGCGGGAGCCGTCATGCAGAAGGCCCGGGTTCGATTCCCCACATCGGTACAATGTGTGAAACCCCCGACGTGCGTGATATTGCTGGAATATTGCTAAAATGGCGTAAAACCAACTCATACACTTACTCACTAATGTACTTTGACTTATCAGTTATAATCCTACATCAGAAACACTTTGATTCCTCCCAACCGGCGTCGTTCATATTATTTTCAAATAACGATTCAATTCATGAAATGGAGAGCACCTACCCTTCAGATTCCTCCAGATCAAAGTCATCAAACTCCAGAACTAGACTGTATCCATGTGGGGCGCTCACCACTATGCGACAGTCGAGGAAGTTGCTGTAGTTGCCAGGGTAACCGGGACTGGTCACTACAGTATTTTGGTTTTCACTGCTCAGGACCAGTGTGTTGTCACAATCATCAGGTGTTTTTTTCGGAGGTGGAGTTTCACCTGGTTATAAAATAAACAAATATCACAATCAAGAACATTTTATTGGTGTGCAGGTGGTGCTAAGTATCACATTAAAGGCATTTACTGCCAAAGTCGTATTTCGATATTTTATTACTCCCAGTTCGTATGAATTTAACACTGAATTGTGAGTAAATAAGATTAACATGTACATTTGTGGACCCCACTCTCTCTTTCTCTCTAAGCCGCCCCCGTGGTCTAAAGGTAGATCGTCCGCACTGATATACCCCGGCTGCGTCATACAAAAAACTCTTAAAGATGAAATTTGATGTTACCCTGCCTGGCGGTCGGTGATAAGGGGCTAAAAGCAGGACTGGTCGGCTCCGAGTCAAAATATTGTCTGAGAGGGGTACCCGTGTTAAAATGCGGCATGATATCTCAGTGTGCTAGCACTAAAAAATCGGCACTAGTCCGGACTAGTACAAGCAGACACACATGCATGCATGTATGTGCAACAATCTTGACGTTAAACCCCATTTCAACTCACTTCACCTCTTTCTCTCTCGCCCAATGAGATACCATGTCGCAGTTTAACATGGAAACCCCATTTATGAGGTGAGGTGAAATTGGGTTTAACGTCGCGTCCAAGATTATTGCACTAATATAGCGACGTGCATGCACGCGTGTGTGTGTGGCTGCTTGTACTAGTCCGGACTGATGCGCATTTATAGTGCTAGCTCACTGAGATACCATGCCGCAGTTTAACATGAATACCCCACTCAGACACAGTATACTGACTCCGAGCCGACCAGTCCTTGTTTTAGCCCCTTAATGTCGAGCGACAGACAGGGTAACAACATACTATCTTTTAACGTCTTTTGGTATGACGCGGCCGGGGATCGAACCCCGGACCTTCCGCTCTCCGGGCGGACGCTCTACCACAAGACCACGGAGGCGGCAGATACCCCATTTATACCCCACTCAGACACAGTATACTGACTTGGAGCAGACCAGCCCTTGTTTCATTCACTTAATGGAGAAAACAAATATGAACGTCGTTTTACAAGGAGCTGCCGGTGTTTAAACTACCGACCTTCCGCTGCCCGGGCAGACGCTCGTTTGTTTGTTTCTTTGTTGTTTAACGCCGCACTCAGCAATATTCCAGCTGTTTTACGGCGGTCTGTAAATAATCGAGTCTGGACAAGAAAATACAGTGACATCACGAGCATCGATCTAAGCCATTGGGATACGATGACATGCATCAACCAAGTCAGCGATCCCGTTAGTTGCCTCTTATTCTATTCTACCCCGGATCTTCACGGGTCAGCAGACGCTCCTTAGCCATCTTAGGACACAGGTAACTGTGAGCACTGGCCATGTTCATGCGGAAATGAATGCAGTATATTTTCATAGGCTTGACATTAGATACCACCGTCAGACGCAATTAACTCATAACTTCCACAGGGCATTTACACACTAGCTTTGTTGCCAGCTTGGCTTTTTACGGTCATGAGTGGTGACGATCAAAGTCGCATTTAACAATATAAACATCGCATCAGGGCAGTGAATTGTTATTTATGTGGGAGCATAGGCCTTCTTGTCGCAGGTGATATCAACAATTAATGGAAGGGTTCCGACAAACAATGGATCATTCTCGATGAAAATGTGAAACATGAAGCCGCCATCAGCGGATTCCTGAAGCTCAGGATCACATAGCATAGTTAGCATCTGCATAGTTAGTCGCATCGGGCCACTTTACCAGGCATATATTTGTAGAGCAATCTCACAACCGGAAATGGATGAATGAATGAGTGAGTTAACGAGGTTTTTCTCCAATAACCATTATCAGCGGAACAAGAGCACGAATACAATTGATACCAAGCGTATACAATGTGATTCCAGGCGACTGGGCAGACATTCGTTGCATTTATTTACTTGGCTTTATTTAATATGTGTTAGAACTTACTCCATTGTTAATGGTCGCCATGGTCGCCGTAAATTTTTTAACATGTTCAAAACAGTCGCACAAAGTTCGCCGAGGAGGTTGATTGCTCAAAGGTGGCTCAAATGAGGCAGAAGGGAGGCAACATTGCCGTTGTCCAATGATCGCCAGGTAATATTTTCCCGTCAATCCGGGCGATGCTTGGGCGACAAACATCGTGCATTGAATGATGACTGTGGCAACCGCCGTGCCTTCATTCGGCGACAACGGCAACCCTTGAGACACCATGGCGATGCTTCTGCCTCATTTCTGACTCCATTGAGCTACCTGTAGTGCCTCCCCTGCCTGCCTATAAATAGAGGGTGTGTACCTGCAGTGTTTCATTGCGATTGCAGACGCTGAACAACTCGAGCAGTTACTACTGAACAACTGCAGGAGCAGTTACATAGAAACATGATTTTCTGGGTTTAGGCAGAAAAGAGGCAGAAGCATTGCCATGGTGACTCAAGGGTTGCCGTGGTCGCCGAATGGAGGCACAGCGGTCGCCACAGTCATCGTTCAATGCACGCTGTTGGTCGCCCAAAGGAGCCACACGGGAGGCACAAGCATCGCCCAGATTGACGGGAACAAATTGCAACAGAACGCATCTTTGACCTGGCTACCATTCGACGACCACTGTGCCTCCCTTCTGCCTCCTTCGAGCCACCTTTGAGCAACAAACCTACTCGGCGACCTTTGTTCGACTGTTTTGAACATGTTCAAAACTTCACGGCGAACATGGCGACCATTACGTCCATGGCGATGTCTGAACCTCCCGTGTACCACCTTGGAACGACCTAGGCAACCATTCTGCCTCCTTTGAGCCTCCAACGACGATGTGGCAAATTTTATGGTCGCACACGGAAGGCACGCCATCCTGTGTAAAGGCCCAAATTACGGTTTTATGTGCATGTAATATGCTTAAGATGTGATACATTGGCTTGTTAAGATCGAGATCACATTCTTTCAGTGTACCATTCCACCTATCAGTCTCAATAGGGAGGGTGCCATTGGAGGTTCTGAATTGGAGAATCGGACAGGAGCGGCCTTTGTCAAATATAGAAAATCTTCGAAAAATGTCATTTGTTTGTACCAATAAAAATATTTTTGAGCTAGACGTAAAAGGTTACGCGACCCTTCAGTTTCTGCTCTATCATTGCGACAAGCTGTTCTCCATTCAAGTTATATCGGCATTGAAATCTGCCATGTAAATCTTAAGAACGTTGCGTCATGAATACATTCTTCCAAGTTTCCCTTGTTCATGGTTATTCGGAAACAAAGGCCTTACACCCGTAAAAAGTTTAATAATTCTTAAGTGAATCTTTTTCGCTGGCATTTAATATCTCGTATCCCCAGACGCTGATACAAACAACAGTAATTGATGCTTTCAGAAAACAAGGTGATGGTAATTCAATATGTCTTGCTTTTTTGGAGTTGGTAGAACATTCCTTTTGTTGTGTTCTCACTTAATCTTTTAGTATAATAGCAATTATTAATCTTTTGTGCTGCAAAGGTAATTATAATGATAAACTATTTCCAGGTCTTTGTCAACGATGATTTGATAGTTCTGACAGTGATACTCTCGAGGATTATAATTTTATTTTTTGCTACATGAACGGTGAGTTTATTAGCATGTACTACAAACGTTTTGAAATGTAGGCATATAGGACTGCAGCTGCTGGAACAACGCACGACAAAATAAGGAAAAGCATTCAGGCTTTTGGGCGATTTTTCTCTCAATGCTTATGCAAATACCTGAATATGAAACAGGTGGGGTGGTTTCTCTGGTCTCATTTAGCTCTAGTTCGGATTGCTAAATCAATGAAAGGGAATTGGCTACTTGACCATTATTGAACCATATCAGATCATCGATATACTTGCAGCTTAAGTTAAATTTCTTCGCCAGAATCACAATGTGTAACAATGTGTAACCATCTAATTGTCTTATTAGTATTTGTTTCTTCCAACCCTAGAAATGTCCATACCTTCTATTGTTTATTTGCCTCTGAGGCCACACAATAATTTAGTTGGTTCTTTTTCCGGTTACATTACAAATCCTATTTGGGTTGTACCACATGTGTATCTGGACAGAGTTTTGTTGTTTGGATATTGTCGAGACTCTGAAGGCGCTACTGTAAATATTGATACTAATGACTGTGGAAAATGCCTGTTTAGCACCTTCATTTGCTAATTTCCGTGTTACACAGTTGTCAAAAGGTGTTTCATTATCGTGGATGAAGTGATTGTGGTATCATTAGCATGGGCCTACCCTTGTCGCGAACACCTGGTGTCATAACTCATTTTCAGTGGTCCATTCCTAAAATTTTCACAGCTATTTTGACCTTTACGTCAAATTAATATCAATGTTTCGTTTGATAATATAGACTTGTTATTCTCTAGCACTGACAATTTTCATTTATCGAATTGGAGGTATACCGTGTTATCGTGGTTATCAATGACAGCCATACACTGGGTAGACTTAGCTGGACTTCGGATTGGAGGTATACCGTGTTATCATGGTTATCATTGACAGCCATACACCGGGGTAGACTTAGCTGGACTTCGGATTGGAGGTATACAGTGTCATCATGGTTATCTTTGACAGCCATACACCGGGGTAGACTTAGCTGGACTTCGGATTGGAGGTATACCGTGTTATCATGGTTATCTTTGACAGCGATACACCGGGGTAGACTTAGCTGGACTTCGCATTGGAGGTGTACCGTGTTATCATGGTTATCATTGACAGCCATACACCGGGTAGACTTAGCTGGACTTCGGATTGGAGGTATACCGTGTTATCATGGTTATCTTTGACAGCCATACACCGGGGAAGACTTAGCTGTACTTCGCATTGGAGGTGTACCGTGTTATCGTGGTTATCATTGACAGCCATACACCGGGGTAGACTTAGCTGGACTTCGGATTGGAGGTATACCGTGTTATCATGGTTATCATTGACAGCCATACACCGGGTAGACTTAGCTGTACTTCGGATTGGAGGTATACAGTGTTATCGAGTTTTCATTGACAGCCATACACTGGGGTAGACTTAGCTGTA